GCTGAAGACAACAGATTAGTTACTGTGCATACAAATTTCAACTTGCTACCCAAACCTCATAGCATAGGAGTTAGTAGATGGTCCTTTCTCTCCTTCTCAAATTAGTAGTACTGGGAAAATTGCCAATTACAAGAATATAGTTCAATGTGATTAACTTGAAAAAAGTGCAACTTGCCTTTATCACTTAACATTCCTTGATGTTTCAGACATAATACCGGAAAACAGGGTGAACTTAGTCATAATGTTTTTTCTTTCCTCTCCTTACCAACAATGGCAAAACTTTCTTAGGAAGGAACTTAATGAAGGAAAGAAGTGCTTAATAGCGCTAAGAAACAAAATAATTCCTCCGTATTTTGAGTCGGAATTTGGCAAGGAATTTCTTCTGAAAAAGGTAATGGAGCTCAAAACTGGATGAGTTTGTATTAGCTGAGGTAATTTCTGTCATAGTCCCACAAAGCCCACTGTCGGTTTACATCTCAGCCTCAATTTATCGTCTCAAGAAACCATTAGAGAGGACAACTGTGGCAGAATGAATACTGGGAATTATATGCCTTTATTGAAGAAAACATATCTCAGAGAGGCTATATGTTTACTGAGGTCACACTCTCTAGATTCCTTTTGTAAAGTCTAGAGAGTCTGATTCAGAGCAGAAGCTGAACCTTGAGTGTTTTGACCCACAGCTGGAAAACCTCTCTATGTTAACTGGAGAGGGAATCCAGAAGGCTAACCCTCCTGCATTAAAGCTGGCCTTGGGAACATTCCTGTTATCAGGCCTCACAGCCTGATCAATGCTATGACTGTCTAAAGCATACTAAAAAATGTACTTCAGAATCTGAGGAATGCTTATGTATATCAGTTTTATTGTTACCACTTTTGTTCTGCTTGTTTGTTTCCTTTGCACCCTTTTTTGAGTTTGTTTATTGCCATTTTCAGTGGCAGTACATGTGTCTGCTTGGGAGACCTAGGCCCCGTTTCTTATTTTTCTTTAGTTTCCTGATGTGGAAGCACTGTCTAAGGAAATTCCTCCAGTTCCAAAAAAGGAAAGTGGGAATCCGCCTCTACAGATGATCAAAAACCCCATAAGAGGTAATTTGAGCTCTAATGTCTGGTTATTTCAGTATTGTCTTCATTGTTTTTTTCAGTTGTCTCATTTCATATTGCAGTAAAATTTAAGATTAAATTATCTGACACTATGTATTCCCAGGCATTTGGACACATGAACCACTTGGACCACACAGGCTACGTCTGTTCCGATAAATAAAACGTACCCAGTAGCGTGGAACGGGTTGTGTCTATGCTACTAAATTCAGTCTCCAGGCACAGGGTGGCCTTATCCCTGGCCCAAACTCTTGTGCCTCACAGTGTTTGTGGGAAGACTGCTAGTTGGCACAAGTCAGTATCATGCCAGTGTTCTAACAATTTAACGGTATAAATTATCCTGTTTCAGTGCCTGGGAATGTTCCTGTTAAATTCACTAATATAAACGTGGTCTATGAGATTTCTGTGTTTAGTGTATTAAAGGAGTCTTTGGATATGTGACTGAATGAGAAAGAAACATAGGTTTTGGATACAAAGCCAAAGAATTTGGTTATGAATGAGGAGGTAAATGGATGCAAAACGCTGAAGAGTAAACACTGGTCTGGGGTTGATGAGCAAGAAATGAGGAGAACACATTTGGAAAAAGAATAATATCAGTATAGGGAACAGCTGGGAGATGGAACAAATTTTGAAATGAAATGGTAAGGGGGCAGCTTGGGAATGTGGTAGAAGGGGAATGGAATAGGAAACATGCAGGGTGAGGACAGTTTGGGGGATACAATGAGGAGGACTGAAGGGGGAGAAAGCAGTAAGCAATGAAAGTGTATACCGTCTGAGGTTTGAGCCTTAAAGCACTGAGAGGAATACTTCAGTTCTTCTTAAAAACAGCCCTGACAAGTTACTGAAATGACATAGTGAGATTAAAAGTATCCTGTCATACTACACAGCAGAGAATCATATTAGGAAAGGTTCTATCATAGGGTTCTATCAGACCTTTGCTTATTCCCATACTTCCTCATTTGGCGGTCACCAGAAGACTATGTTGGATTGTCTGTTAGATGTTTTGGGCTTACTTCTCAGTTCACCAAAGAACAAGAAATGAATTATCACAAAGTATAGTATGCATTTTTGATCCCTGTTGCCCGGTGGAGCAAAATGACACATGCAGAATTTAACAGTAGGCTTTGGTGATTATGTAGAGAGCTTTCAAAGGTTGTCTAAAATGATGTGCCAAATACTTCGGGACTTTTTCATGTGTTTGTGAAAATGACGATGATCATGACAAATACTTGTCAGTGTATACCATTATTTTTCCTTTAGCATCTGAATATCTCAATACCATGAGCGATTCCTCACCTTCACCTGGTTTTCTGCTACAGACTCGTTCACAGCAAAGCGAAGGTCCCAGCAGTCACTCCTCAACAGGTAAAGCTGCCTTTCAGAATGTAGTTTGGAGCAAGTTAATTTCTATTTTCTTAAAACTTGACAAAATATGTACAAGAGAAATTTAAAACCAGTTGTTCTGTTCAGCATTCTGAATGCAAGACTGGCAGAAAGGAAGAGAGCAGTCTGCTTTAAAATAAGGAGAAAGATTCTCTTCTCACCCTAGCAGACTGTTATAACAACATGGGGACTGTAGAATTGGAGACACAGCCAAGAAATAATTCCTCTGCTAAAAATCTGCATGAGCCAATTTTTCCTACTCATTAAGGCTAGTAACACAAGACTCCAGAAAAGGAGTTTGTTGCGCTTAATGGTCTTTGCCATTTAAACGTCCCAAATTGATTTTGCTTTCCTTGCTGCATCTACTGTTGTTCTCTCTGTTTATTGGTCTACTTATGGTGACAGTCTTGGGTGATCACCACTGGACAGTCACCAGTCTGCTTTAATTAGACCCAACCTTTGGCTCCCACATAATGCCGTATCAGCTGAGTCTTGGCAGTGCGCACTGGCAAAACCTATCTCTGCAGCCCACAGTTAGTTTCCCTTGCCCCCTTCCTTTCCCTCCTACCACCCACTGGCATTCTTTCTTAGTAGTAGGTCTCTGCAGCAACAGTTCCTCCTAAGCTTCCCCTGTTATTTATGCATACTTGCTAGACCTCAGGGCAGACGCACTAATTTGTACTTCCAGAGCCACAGGGTAGGTAACAAAAGGAAAAGCAGTTTTGGGGGTGTGTGTGTGTGAGAGAGATTGTAAAACTACACAAACTCCTAATGTCAAAGCATAACAATTGCTTACCTTTAGGCAAAACAACAAATGCTAGTATGATTTCTCCACTACATCCATGCTCAGCATTTTTATAAGCCCTGGGCCATTTATTGTCAGATGGGAGGCCCTTATTCCTCTGCAACCTACAGTTCTGTTGTTTGGAAATAAATACCTGTTGAGAGAAGGAATCTAGAGAAGAATCTACTCTCAAATTATATTTCTGCCTCCACAAAATGACTGGCCAGATACACAATTCCAGCCAGACAGTACCTGCAGTTGGCTGCCTACAGTCTAAATTGAAAAAAAAACAATTATCTTCAGTACAAAATATGGATTTAGAGACAGACCCTTGGTGAGAAGACAGCCACCGTTGTTGTCTTATGTTTTCCCTTCAGAGGTTAGCAGACTTTACAGCTTTTACAGCAAGCTATAGGTGTCTTAAGCTCTCAAGCAAAGGAAGTTTAGATCCGATTCTTCCAAGCAGCAGTTAAATTGTGTAGTAACTACCTGCTCTGCTAATCCCTATGCTCAGTCTACCTACATTTTATAGTGAGGCACAGATCAGGGATGACAAGGTAGCTAAGACTGTTTTAGCTCCGCAATCAGAAGCGTGCAGACTCATCCATGCGTTGTTGCTCTCAAGCCAATAAATCCTGCTCAGAGACAGGGTCTACAAATTGATTATGGCCTTGTGCTGACACAGCTGTCCTGCTTTGGAGCCTGGGCAAGAATTTGTTACTCTATGGATGTACAAATTTGGCTTGACCAGCCTCACCATTTCTGCACCACTGACCGTTGTGCAGTGTAGACATGCCTTTGGAATAGTAATATGTTCTCAGTTTTGATTTTAGTGCTTAGAGGTTTTTGTACCTCCTCTTCTGTTTTTAATAACTTACTTTCACAGGATTTTATACCTTCATTGTTGGTTTCCACTGTGATGTCTTCAACTAATTCGTTTTACTGATTTTAGAACATTTTTACTTATATTTCTGCATTATTTCTGCTTGTTACTTGCTAGTGTTAGAGATGTCTAAAAATGATCATCTTTCTTTCCCCTAAATTGTTTTGTAACGTAAAAATGAGACCCATTCTGCTATTATTGTGCTAATCAAACTGTTTTAGTAAATTAAAGTTTTATTTGAAGAAGAACTTCAGGATTGGGCTGACTTTGATGCTTGGTTTTTCATGCTTTTGGAAATCTTTTCTTTTCTTTTCCTGCAGACCTAAACAAGGCTGCAAGATCACATGAGACACCCTTTAGACCTAAAATTCAGAGTCTGCTGGTGAATGCTGCAGGGCAGCCAAGAAAAGAGAAAGTGGAATTACCACCATCCCTCCAGGGGAGCAAGCCCAACTCCATACCAAATAAAAAGGTAAAATAGTAACTTTTTAGTTAATATCCTCTCAGTCATCTCTTTTGCAGAGCTGCTGGACATTCCTTCACTCTGCATCAATATTGGACAGCATTTTGAATCTGTTTACTGAACAATAGCACTTGCAATTTATGTATAAAATGATTGGCTGTTCTATAAGCAGCTTTTCTCTCAGCTACTAGGACAAACTTGTATGCTGAAAGCAGAGTTCTGTACTAAGCACCCACATGAAAGCCCTGATTTCCAAAAGAGAGTACCTCGTCAGTTCCTTCTGAGACACCTGAATGGCTCAGAATGTCCAAAAACTCAGGCTAGTATAAATTGGCAGACAATATCAAAAGTAGTTAGCTTTGCCCCTTCATTTTTTAGTCAAATTAGCGTGCCTTTTTGTAATAGCTTCAGGATGAGTAGACAAAGTCAAATGTAGGAAAAGTAACAAGTATTATCTGGGTACTGCTTAATCAGAACCTGACTTAAGCCACCAAATTTATTGTCTAATTCTATTTGCAAAGGTATACGATCCTGTTGGGGGAAAGGTCAACACATCTTCTCTTGCAACAATGAAACAGCATCTTAGTGCATTCCATCTCATTCCACCTAATGTGATGTTTGGCATACTGAAGGAAGGCTGCACCTACACTGCCACTGTGATCCTGAAGAATGTTGGGGTGAACTTCTCAAGGTTATTTCAGATTCTTAGTAACTTGTTTTTTGACTGTCCAAATATGCATTGCTTGTTAATTATCAACCTTCTGATTTGATATTTTTATAAATTCAGAGCAGATAATATTAGAAATACTGAACATTTTTTGTATATTGATAGTCTTAGGAAGATGGGAAGTAGTAAGGAACATTAGGTCCTATATGCATAGTCCTGGCCTAGAGTAGATGATTTACTGGTTCTTATGGAAGTTCTCAGGTTCAGGGACCAAATTCTTTCATGGTAACTGGTCCTACATTTGGTTTTGGGAAATGCTGCTGGGTGCTGCAAGTCTGACAGTTTAAATGAGGGCAGCTGCAGTCAGACAGCCACATGGCTTTTGCTGCATGGAAAAACAGCTTCAGTGATGAAACTGGGAACAGGCAGAGGACAAGGATGAAATCAAGCATTTATTTATAAACACATTTCCCTTATTTAGTGTCACCCCTTACCAATGGGTAGTAGCACTGCACTATGTTCCAGTGTGGTGAGGACAGGACCATTTTCAGCTCTGCAGTCCAGCAGATTGTCTCTTGCATTGCATGATAAAGCCCAGGAAATTATTGGTGGACCTACCCAGCTGGAATTTAAAGAGCATGCAAATACAGTAAAAGAATGCTTATAACTGCTGTTTTTTCTGTTCAGGAGTTCCCTGTTTGAGTGACTGCATATATGCTCATTCACTGGGTACTACTGGGTACTCCTGCACCAGCAGTGTTAGTGTTTTCATTAAATTCACCATCATCCACGCAGGTGTGCTTATGACCCTTGTCTTCCTACATGCCATACAAGTGACAGTAAAGAAGGCAAAGTGTGTTCCTCCCACTCACTTTTGTCTGCAGCATTTGTCTTAGCTTTACTATGCCTATTTTGCCTTTTAGCTTACAGGAGAGTCTGCAACAATGGTCTTTGCGTTCTTACGGTTTTTGGGGTTTCTACCTAAAGTTTGTCACTTCAAAATGGCTTCCACTATAATCTCACCAACTGCTTTCAAGAATTGCAGTGCCAGGTGGCAAGTTTTCATTTCAGATGGCTGCAACTGATGTTTTTATTACAAGGGAAAACGTCAAGTTAGTCTCAAAAGCCCCAAAGCCAAAAAAAGAACATTTTCTTTCTAAATTCCTGAGCTCTAAGCAAGCTATGCTAGCTGAAATTTTCCACTTAGCTTCAATTACCTCCTGCAACTGGAGAGGTTCTTAGGTCTAAACAGCTACTTTCAGTTAACTGCTAAATAAACTCTCTCTCTTTCATCTCAGCCGTTTGTCCTGATGGACAGGTGCACACTGATCTCCCAGAAACTTAGGAGTAGGCCAGGCTTGGACTATTCTGGCTGTATGGGCCTTTCTCCTGCTAAACTCAGAGGTCATAGGAGAGGGAGCCTAATTGAAAGCATGGAAATAAACTTCCTACTGTCATTATTGGTCTAGGTCGTTCAAGAACTGGTTCCTCCTCTTAGCACTGGTGACAACAGCTCTTAGCTTTCTGGTGGCATTAGCACTGGCTAAGGAAAACAGCAAGGGTATTAAACATTCTTATGTTTGGAGCATGTAAGTCTCATGGCCCTGATGTGCTGCAGCTCCTAGGTGCTGTATGTTTCTTTGGAGCACTTATCACATAAGCAGGCACCTGCCAAACTTTCCTCTTCTGGATGCAGGTAACCTGCAGTCTCTGCTGTCCTCTTTGAAAGAAGAGTCAAGAGAAATGTCACAGTGACCCTACCCCAGCAGTCACAGCATCCCTCTAACATGGTGCCTCTGTTCTGGAATGAAAAAAATAAAAACATTTAAGTAAATTAGGTACCTTGTCTTTCCTCCTCCTCCTGGACTAATTAATTATCCTCAAAAGAGGAACTCGCAGGAGAGTTACCCAGCTGGAATCATCATGGTCTCTTGTGAGTACTCATCCAACTGGGCACTTCAGAAATCTTTTCGGGACCAGCTGAGAGACTATTGTACAACTCCATCCATCAGGCTTGATGGCAGAGAGTTTTTTTGTTTGTTTTTTTTTTTTAATCAGATGTAGCCTCAAAGGGAGGGTTATAGGGCCAAGTGCCCTTAAGAGAGGGGGTTCTTTAATGCACATTTCAGTATCATGGTGCCTGCTTGTGAAGTTTTAAGCTAGCAGGCCACATATCAACATCCAGGAGCTCATGTTATGTGCATTGCACAGTCTTAAGATTTATGCCAGAGCCCTATATGCAAACGTTCATGGGGAAAATACTACCACGAGATTCTTCATCAGCAAATAAGGACAGTCTCAGAGATACTGGGGACCAAGAGTCCTGTGATGCCTTCTGTCATTCTAAGAAATTCAGCTTATCCTTTGAAGCCTTTTACTAGGTGCTTGGAGAAGCGACCTGTATGCCTAGCTGCTGAATGACAGCAGAACGTGCTGTGGCAGGGTAGAGGGCAGGACTGGGCACTACTGAGACATGTTTGCCTTATGCTGAAGTTGAATCTTTTCCGTTGACAGGGTCAATAGTTAACTAGGTGCCTTCCAAACTGTCGCCATCATAGCCTTAACTTGTCATGATGCCTTGACAAAAATTAAGTCCAGTTTCTCATAACAGCCAGCACTCCAGAGGAATTCTGACAGCCTGTTTGTAATTCTGCCAGGGCCTCCAAAGCACTGAGCTATATACTGAAAATGCCTCTTCTCCCACATTTCTTTTAACAGCTTCTTGTGTGAGCACTTGCTGGTAGCTGTTCTTCAGGTGGAAATAATAAAAAAAAAAAAAAAATCACACGGAAAAACCCAGAGCTACTTTTGAGTAGAGGTCATACTCTGCTCTAATGATCTTGAGAGATCTTAACAGTGATTTTTTTTCCACAGGCCAGAGCCACCACAGAATGTACCTATTTGCATGTTGGTGTTTAAACAGGGAGGTGATGTCCCATCATAGTGTTGCTCAGCAGTGGTAGTAGCATGCACACTAGAAAAAGACTGCACAAGCTGTGAATCCATCAGTGAGGAGTGACAAAGTGAAACTACTGCCTTAATGGATACAGTTAAACTAAAGAGACTTTTTTTTTTTATTTATACTGGGATTTATATGGAATTTACACTTCAGTTTGTGTATGCAGACTTAGAATGCAGATGTTTAACGTTCCGTTGTAAGGACTTAGCTGTGTCACGAGCCCTTTGGAGACTTACTTTGACCCATTAATATACTGCTTTGCTTTTTTCTTCAAAACTGTTTGAATGGAGCCTTGGCTAGAAGCCCTGAAACACTGTTATAGCCCAAGTGTACATTGTGATGGGAAGGATGAGCTAAAAAATTCTGCTGTCAGTTACACAAGCCCAGGAAGAACGGATACCCTACTTCCCAGCAGTTCCACCTGCCTGCCTGGAGTGGTTCCTGGCAAACTGATCATCATCTCTTTCTGACAGGTTTCGGGTGAAGCAACCACCTCCACACACAGGACTGAGAGTGATGTACACACCAGGACCTGTAAGTAATCCTTGGTATTATGCTAGAGTCATTTAGCCTTTAGGCCATATAGACGTGCTTCCTCACCAGCTGCCTGGGAATAGAGCTGGCCAGGGTCTGTGATCTGTTTAAAGCCCATCTGAAGTCACACTGCCTTCTGCTATCCTTCTGCTGCCTTCTACCAAGCTCACTGTGCAGCAAGTCTCAGATCCTGCCCCAGAACGCAGAGGGATAAACATCTCAAGCTCAGGTGGAAGGCAGCAGGTCAAGCAGTGAGGTTAAGAAGAGCTTTTTTGATGTGAACAGGATACTCTACCATTACCTCTAATTTTTTCCTATGGTTTAGGTATTTTTTTTATTTCTGCTCTGTCTGTCTCATGCCTGGACTTTATCTCCCTGTCTAGATACCTCTAAGAACTGAACCTAGTAAACTCTCACCTCAGCCATTTCTTTTCCTGCATGCTGCTTCTGCTTGTTCTGCCTCAAGTCTTTTATCTAGCACGGCACCATAGCACATGACATTGTCTAATTACGTATGAAGCTTTGATGCTTTCTGCCTTTGTTCAGTTTGTCTCTGCTCTTCACCTGCCTGCTGTGTCTGAACAAATCTTGTATGCTGGCTGGAATCCCCACAGCACCCAGGTAAGACCAGACACTATCCTTGCCCACTATTTTACAGGCATGGAATCAAGAAGACGACTTGTGCAAGGAGTCAGTGCCTGAATGCAAGTTAAAACTCCTAGTCCAGAGCCCCAGCCACAACCTAACACTTGCAAGAGCTGGAAGAATTTCCCTTCTCTTTTCCTCTCCACGCATCTGTCCCTTTATCTGCCTTTTCTTCCTACCTCTAGGTTCTTTTTGATTGTCTTCCAGCTTTCTCAATTCTCCCTTTCCTTCTATAACCTAAAAGGAAATTTAAGGGGAAATAATGAGAAGGGGCAGAAAAAAATCTGGCAGTTTGAAAGCAAACTGCAATGTGAAGAAATACTGTTTTGCACAGACCCTTCTCATGGCACGGTCACTGAGTAACTCAAGAGCAGTCATGTGTGTGGGGTACTAAGTCTTTACTTTCATCAGACAAGGTAGAACAAGAACCAGCTGGGAGCACTGCTGCAGTGGGCTATGTATGAAACGTACCTTAGGGCAATCCTCCGTCTCTCCTAGGTGGCAGCAGGTTTGCACGTTGAACTGGAGATAGAGATTTTTGCCATGGCAATTGGAGGGGAAGATACTGATGGCCTTGAAGAAATTTCCCATCATATTGAAATATTAACAGAAGCAGAGACTCTTCTCCTTCCTGTGAGGGCAAATATCCTTTTTTGTCCAACTGCCCAACTCTCCCAATAACATCAGTCCTAGAGACATTCCACCTTTCAGGAGCCCTAAACATCCTTTCTGATACAGGCAAGCTGTCCATTTTGGAAACACAGAGCACAGCAATGGAGAATTTAATATTCTGACCCCCAAAAGCAATTTAGATCAGAGTGACAAGGTATTGAAAAGAAGGGGGTGGGAAGCCTGGAAAGATGTGGCTTTTAGGGAATACATGAAAAGGAGGATAGAAATTCCTTGTTTTCTCCCCACTGATATAAATCCTACATAGGAGTTTCTATTTATAAGTTTTGAACCTATGGTAGCACCTGATAGCACAGCTTCATCAGGAACAAAATCATATCATTGTGGATACAAAACAGAGAGACAAGAGACTATCCCTGTTTCCAGAGAGTCTCTTTCAGCAGAAACTAGCCCAGTATGGGTTATTGTTCAGTGGGCTTTTTAGTTGTTTAATTGGGGACAGAGGCAGAGTAAAAGAAAACAGCAAAATCAGGAACTATTATTTCTCTTTCTTTTGTACTCTAGCAATTGTAATTACTGTTTTTCAGATATAATTAAAGGTTCATTTTTTAAGGCTAGTTTAGAGGAGATGGAGAGGGTGAAGTTCTATTTGCTCTTTAAGCAAATTTACTGATTAAAGCCTGGGAGAGGAGGTCTTCTGGAAAGCTATAAAATAAGTAATAAGGCAAGGTGCATCCTACTCACCTCCTATTACCATGCCAGAAACTCTCACTCTTGGTAAGGCCTGCCCTTACCAAGCAAAGGAGGAATTTAGGACCCTTTAAGACTGACCAGAGGGATAGTTAAGTACAACTACATTGGGGCTCTCTATGCTCTGGAAGTTACATTGAAACTCTCCTAATTTACTTTGTAGTGACACAAAGAAGTCTTTGTTGTCAGTCCTTGCTGAGTTGGACTGGACGAGGGCTGGTGCCACAGCAGCAAAGAGTCCCTGCTCCATTCCCACTCACCCAGTCCTCAGTTACACACTTGCAGACCCAGCCTCAGAACATGTGCATCTTCCTCTTCCCTAATATTTCACCTGGCCTGTATTCTTTGAGCTGAGGTCAGTAGTTGAGATGCAAGTTGAGATTCATTTCCAGATTTCATTCCAGCTTCTACAGATACTTGTTTAGTCATATAAGTGTACAGAAATGGTTAGATCCTTAACCTAATATTCCACTTGTGTTAACCAATGACATTTATGAGCACCGCCCACAAGGATACCCCCAGGGTGGGATGGCAGCAACAGTCCGGCTGATTTCTACGATTCCCAAGGCCCAGTTCCAGATTACACCACCCCAAAAGCTTTCTAGTTAACGTAAGTACTGCATGTAACAATAACAGCCACAAGTTAAAAATTACAGTTGTTGTACCTCCTCTTACCTTCTGATTCACATCATCAGCAAACCCTATGCTACTGACAACAAAGCGATCGCACGCTCGCACACGCACCCCACCCCCCCCCCCCGGCAGAACAACCAATACAGTAAAAAAAAGACTCCATGCAACATATTTACAGATTGTTACAACTGTTCAGCCTGCTCAGCCTAGTGGAGGTACTCACAGCAGAGGCCCTCAGTCCTATCCCAAATCCTTCACTTGCTGTCTCCACATTAAACACCTCACTGAGCCTCCTGGCAGCAGGAGGCTGGATCTATTACACTCAAGCCCTAATAAACTAGTCTCTTTTTAACACTCTTCACTTTCTAAAACCAAGTCTTACTGCTACCTCACTCCTTAATGCCAACAGAAGGAACAGGAGACTTGCAGAGACGGAGCAACCATAACATGACGAGGTCCAGCATGCTCAGCCCTCTGCATGCATTGTTCCATGCAGCACCTTTCCGTACCCCAAGAGAAGCAGGCTCTGGATAAGGAGAGGGCACTCATCTTCCCTGCCAACAGGAGAGCCTCACTGGGGAACTTCTCCTCACCAAGCAATGTTAAAGTAGGCTGGTGTTTTGCCTTCCCTCCCCCCATCAGTTCAGGCACTCTATAACTGGTGGTGACAATTCATAAACGGAAACCTCAAGGATGTTAATGTTTCCTCTCTGCTCAGCTCAGAGTCCCCATTTGTCCCATATCTGTAACACTGACATCTTTTTATTTCAACTGAAACATCTGTAAATTTGGCATGTTATCGAGAGAGTCAGTGCAGAAATCCCAACTGTATTGCATTTCCTCTCCTCTGGCGAAAAAGAGGCCCCCCCCACCATTCAGTTCTCGAAAGAAACTTCACAGCAAGACATACACCTCTGACTGCTGCATCTGCTCTAGGACTGCCCAGAGTACTTCAAACATGCCCCTTTGTTCCTGTCTAAATATCATCTCCGTATCGTTTCCAATGCAGAGGTTTCACCCCGCAAAGTAATAGACAATTGTAGTCCAGGAAGAGCAGTGAATTTAATGTCTTCCAGCTTAGGGGCTTACAGCCTGAAGGGGATTTAGACAAACCTCTCTCACTGTGTTGAAGCAGAACAGAAGTACTCACACAGTGAGATCACATTTCAGAGAGGCACTTCACTCTCCCAACTCAGCCTACTACAGCCTTGAACTAATATACAGCTCATGGATCATCTCTTCACCAGATAAACACCAATCTATTTTTTCCTGACTAGTTTTAAAGTCTTGGAAATTCAAATCAGAGTACCATCTCGCATTAAAAGCTCCAGACAGAAAGAAATTAACATGGTCTTGTCTTCCCATGTAGCTCACGGATCTAGCTGATCATGAGGACTACTCTTCTAGTTGCTGCTATCATCACCAAATCTCCCTTCTATTCTGACACAGTTTTTTCAAGGACAGATTGATAATTCCTACCAAAGCTGGTTACAGCTACCCCATGCAACCCAAGTAACTGAGCCAAATGCCTCTAGGAACAAATCTTCCCAACCAAAATTCATTTTTAGTAACATGCTCAAAAACATGTCCATCTGAAACAGATCAAGAAGCTCTGAACAGGTTGGTTTAGAGTCACAAAACATGAAACACTGATGTTCCTAGGTTAAGTTCTGTATTCAGTTAAACAGTCTAGTTCAGCCATCCAGGATAGCAACAGTTAGGAGACTGTTAGCAGAGGAATGTGGCAGCTTAAGTTCATATGTGACTACCACCAAAAGCCAATATGGGTCTCATCAGTGAGACCCAGAAACTTCCCTACTGATTATTAGAACTGATCACAAATTAGCTGCGTGTCCTAGCGGAGGCCAACAAAAACCACAAGTCACATACATAATCACAAAACTTAGTCATAATATTTCTCATTTATATTGAAAACATTTCTCCAAGTTTGTCTTAATATACCCACAATGAAAGACTGCATAGAAAGCTGCCCATGAAAGCCTTCAGTATTCCCAGGTAGAGTGCCCATACTGAACTCAAGGTCATGATTTTTTATTCCAATCAATTTATGAAATAAAAACAAATTCTTGCTCTAGCTTAAGGTCATGTGAAAATCCGTTTTCATGTTTTTCTCTTCCAACAGCAACAATATCGGCCAGTCCTACACATAGGCCAGCAATCACAGTGCTCACAGAATGCAAAGAATCCTAACATAATTACTGGGTTTGCTTCAATAACTGTAAAAAGGTAGAGGTTTTTTTTTTTTTTCTTTCCTCTCACGTCAATTTTTTCTGCTCTTCTGTTACAGGTCAGAGCCCTGGATGAATGACATAAGGATCATCAATACTGAAATACTAGAATTTTATTTGAATGTTGTTATGGAAACATTCCTATATAGACTTTTTCATTTATTTAATCAAATTAACATGAATAAATATTTTGTCTGTGTCCTGTTAATGAGAAAGGTGGTCCAGAAGTTACACTACATTCTGACTTCTGACATGGCTGCCTGAAACACAACAGTAAAGATAGTGTTGTATTTCAATCCCAATGTTTAATATGCCGCACTTTAGAAGAGTGCTGAATGGTTCCCAATAGGTTTAGATTGTTTTTAAAGAGAAGTTAGGTTACTATAACACATGCTGAGGCACCTGACATCTTTTTTAAGTACTGAGCACGCAGCCAATTTCACTGGAGTCAGCTGTGTGTGACTCTTGGAGAAAGAAACTGTAACAAGTGCTACTGATCTGCTCTGGCCTTCTAAATCCTAAGTTCCTGTTTGTTTTCACTATCATAGGTTCACCTTTCTGTGTACAAACCGTTCACCTACCTTTAACTTGCTGCAGACACAAGATGGGGGTGGTCAGTATACAGTTTTGCTCTGGACAGAAAGGACCCCTGGAGGAATTCTTCTGGCAGCAGTGACACTAATGACATTGAGGGATTCCATTTTTATCCTCCTGTTCACTATCAGACATGATTGTCCTCAAATGCTCACCTGCATGTCTCAGTTCATAATGGATGACCGTGAGCCACTTAGGAGAGGGATTTTTTTTCCCCTTTGTTCCTGCTTACAAAGTAGTGACTAACAGGAATGTCCTAGTCCCTGTGAACCATCATGTTTGTATATTCAAGTGCAGTTCTGCTTTATGTTCTTTTTCCTAATTCATTTTCAGTGCATTGCTTTCCTGTGTTTCATCCTTTTTCCAGCACGTGACTCCTTGGGGATGGAGAAAGTCTTCCTTGATACCTGCAGCCGACTTGTTCTCTCAACATTTACAGTAACTGAGAATCCCACGATGGGAGCTGAAGAGTAGCTTTCACTTCTGTACCAATGTGAAACATGAATGCCAGCTTTGGACTCCCCCATCTAAGCACTATACCAGTGGATGAAATACATGTTCCAACTGGGCGATAGATCTGCAAATGTTTTAATGCTGAGGTTTGCAAATCCAGGGAATTTTACTTGAGAAACTTCCTACTAAACACATCAACATACCCAAGGACATCAGAACTGAGGAATAACAGTGGATAGACCTCTTCCATTCAAAGCATATGCTGAGTTCCCTCAGTAGTCATCCAAGTACCGCACCGGAGTTTGGCACTGCACTAGTGCCTGCAACTGCACTGCCAGATATAACTACGTTGTCTCTCAGCTTGTTCTTTGAGTCAGAAGATGTGACCTATTAACCAAGGTTGAAGGCCAGCTCAGAAAGGTGCTGAAGCAGATATGCAGTTGCAGACATCATTTTAACTCCACTTACCTGCTGAAAAACACCACAGAAGCAGTGCCAGACTTGATCTAGGGTTCTCCGATACCAATAATTTTGCTGCTGATTGTGTCGATTCCTACACTGATGCTTTTCACTGTTTTCTGCAGACACAACCAGTCCTCCTACATCAGTCCTCTTAGTGATGCATTCTAAGCACTGAGGCAAGTCATAGTTGCTGGCAGAGCTTGGTCACATGTGATAAAAATCAGAGAATCAGAGGGAAAGGTCAGGGGGGAAGCCCTTGTCAGCACCTACAGCAAGGACAACCACCCTCCAAAGTCAACTTCTTCCAAGGATTCTTCCAGAATCCCAGTGACAACAAACAGAGATGAAGGTGAAGGAATTCCACCTCCTCCAACGTAGGAGATCAAAGGAAATAACCTGTCATCATGGGATAAGTCAGAGTCTCAGATCACTCTTCTGTACCACCATTTATATCCTTGTCATCTGTTCCTGAGCTCAAGTGTACCTATGGCCAGAGCTTTTCTCCCAGGGCTCCCAGAGGATCAAACGCCTAGGCTCCAGAGCGTCTGTCTCCCTGGCATCAAGGCAAAAAATACAGCACATCACACTGAGGCATAGCGACAGCCTTTCCCTTTGGGTACCTGGTTTTGATATCTCTCTCCTCAGTCATCACTGCTGAATCACACAGAATCACAGAATCGTTTAGGTTGGAAGGGACCTCTGGAGATCATCTAGTCCAACCTCCCTGCTCAAGCAGGGTCCTCTAGAGCATATTGCCCAGGATCACATCCAGACGGCTTTTGAAGATCTCCAGCGAAGGAGACTCCACCACCTCTCTGGGCAACCTGTTCCAATGCTCTGTCACCCTCACAGGAAAGAAGTTTTTCCTCAGGTTCAGAACTTCCAACAAGGCCCACAAAAGGCCCAGGCAGAGCCCAGACACTGCTGCGCAAACTGCTGCGTCTGTTCGCTGCCTCTGTTGGCTGCGCTCTGGGAGCTGCGCTCTAGGCCTGGCTCTTATATAGGCCTCTGCCTAGCAGTGACTCACAAGGGTGCTTGACCCACCCAATCAGGAGCCACCTGAAACAAAAGCCCCAACTCCCTCTGACCAGGGCAGCCCAGAGAGCTCGTTAGCAGCAGCCCCACCTAGCTAGAACTTCCCAGGAGAAGTTAAGTCAAGGTCCCCTGCAGGAGTCCTTGCCCAGCTCTCCCTTCCTGCTAGCAGCAAGCACCGTCTAGTTCCTCGGGGGTCCCCAGAAAGTCTCCACAACTTCCAACAAGGCCCACAAAAGGCCCAGGCAGAGCCCAGACACTGCTGCGCAAACTGCTGCGTCTGTTCGCTGCCTCTGTTGGCTGCGCTCTGGGAGCTGCGCTCTAGGCCTGGCTCTTATATAGGCCTCTGCCTAGCAGTGACTCACAAGGGTGCTTGACCCACCCAATCAGGAGCCACCTGAAACAAAAGCCCCAACTCCCTCTGACCAGGGCAGCCCAGAGAGCTCGTTAGCAGCAGCCCCACCTAGCTAGAACTTCCCAGGAGAAGTTAAGTCAAGGTCCCCTGCAGGAGTCCTTGCCCAGCTCTCCCTTCCTGCTAGCAGCAAGCACCGTCTAGTTCCTCGGGGGTCCCCAGAAAGTCTCCACAACTTCCAACAAGGCCCACAAAAGGCCCAGGCAGAGCCCAGACACTGCTGCGCAAACTGCTGCGTCTGTTCGCTGCCTCTGTTGGCTGCGCTCTGGGAGCTGCGCTCTAGGCCTGGCTCTTATATAGGCCTCTGCCTAGCAGTGACTCACAAGGGTGCTTGACCCACCCAATCAGGAGCCACCTGAAACAAAAGCCCCAACTCCCTCTGACCAGGGCAGCCCAGAGAGCTCGTTAGCAGCAGCCCCACCTAGCTAGAACTTCCCAGGAGAAGTTAAGTCAAGGTCCCCTGCAGGAGTCCTTGCCCAGCTCTCCCTTCCTGCTAGCAGCAAGCACCGTCTAGTTCCTCGGGGGTCCCCAGAAAGTCTCCACAACTTCCAACAAGGCCCACAAAAGGCCCAGGCAGAGCCCAGACACTGCTGCGCAAACTGCTGCGTCTGTTCGCTGCCTCTGTTGGCTGCGCTCTGGGAGCTGCGCTCTAGGCCTGGCTCTTATATAGGCCTCTGCCTAGCAGTGACTCACAAGGGTGCTTGACCCACCCAATCAGGAGCCACCTGAAACAAAAGCCCCAACTCCCTCTGACCAGGGCAGCCCAGAGAGCTCGTTAGCAGCAGCCCCACCTAGCTAGAACTTCCCAGGAGAAGTTAAGTCAAGGTCCCCTGCAGGAGTCCTTGCCCAGCTCTCCCTTCCTGCTAGCAGCAAGCACCGTCTAGTTCCTCGGGGGTCCCCAGAAAGTCTCCACAACTTCCAACAAGGCCCACAAAAGGCCCAGGCAGAGCCCAGACACTGCTGCGCAAACTGCTGCGTCTGTTCGCTGCCTCTGTTGGCTGCGCTCTGGGAGCTGCGCTCTAGGCCTGGCTCTTATATAGGCCTCTGCCTAGCAGTGACTCACAAGGGTGCTTGACCCACCCAATCAGGAGCCACCTGAAACAAAAGCCCCAACTCCCTCTGACCAGGGCAGCCCAGAGAGCTCGTTAGCAGCAGCCCCACCTAGCTAGAACTTCCCAGGAGAAGTTAAGTCAAGGTCCCCTGCAGGAGTCCTTGCCCAGCTCTCCCTTCCTGCTAGCAGCAAGCACCGTCTAGTTCCTCGGGGGTCCCCAGAAAGTCTCCACAACTTCCAACAAGGCCCACAAAAGGCCCAGGCAGAGCCCAGACACTGCTGCGCAAACTGCTGCGTCTGTTCGCTGCCTCTGTTGGCTGCGCTCTGGGAGCTGCGCTCTAGGCCTGGCTCTTATATAGGCCTCTGCCTAGCAGTGACTCACAAGGGTGCTTGACCCACCCAATCAGGAGCCACCTGAAACAAAAGCCCCAACTCCCTCTGACCAGGGCAGCCCAGAGAGCTCGTTAGCAGCAGCCCCACCTAGCTAGAACTTCCCAGGAGAAGTTAAGTCAAGGTCCCCTGCAGGAGTCCTTGCCCAGCTCTCCCTTCCTGCTAGCAGCAAGCACCGTCTAGTTCCTCGGGGGTCCCCAGAAAGTCTCCACAACTTCCAACAAGGCCCACAAAAGGCCCAGGCAGAGCCCAGACACTGCTGCGCAAACTGCTGCGTCTGTTCGCTGCCTCTGTTGGCTGCGCTCTGGGAGCTGCGCTCTAGGCCTGGCTCTTATATAGGCCTCTGCCTAGCAGTGACTCACAAGGGTGCTTGACCCACCCAATCAGGAGCCACCTGAAACAAAAGCCCCAACTCCCTCTGACCAGGGCAGCCCAGAGAGCTCGTTAGCAGCAGCCCCACCTAGCTAGAACTTCCCAGGAGAAGTTAAGTCAAGGTCCCCTGCAGGAGTCCTTGCCCAGCTCTCCCTTCCTGCTAGCAGCAAGCACCGTCTAGTTCCTCGGGGGTCCCCAGAAAGTCTCCACAACTTCCAACAAGGCCCACAAAAGGCCCAGGCAGAGCCCAGACACTGCTGCGCAAACTGCTGCGTCTGTTCGCTGCCTCTGTTGGCTGCGCTCTGGGAGCTGCGCTCTAGGCCTGGC